CTTGTGTACATGTTTATTTATAAACGTATGTGTTCCTTTTCTTTCGTACGTGTTTATTGATATATCTGTTCTGTAGTGTTTTCGGACGGTACTAGCTCTTACTGCCATACCTAAACAAAAGCGTCAGCGATGTCTGGCTGTCAAAAAACTCTCATGCCCATACAATTTGTATGAAGCATACCGAAACAACGCGGCGTCAACGCTGAGCGGTTGGAAAATCCGATTTTGACATGGCGTTAGATTAAAGTTGGCTGCAGAAAATGGCGAAACTGTCATTTTCGTGTTACACACAAACAAACCTATGCTTATTGTTGGTGTTATTTATGCATTTGACGTAGCGTTGACGCTTTTGTTTAGGCATGGCACTTCGGCGCTAACGCTAGGCGTCAGAAACCGCTCCGCCCCACGCTCTTGTTTAGATATGGCAGTTACTGCCAATATAGGAGTATTACATATATGGCTTATACATACGTATGTACATATCTATGTAAATTTTAGCAAAGTAATATGAAATAAAAAAGAAAGCCAGTTTATAAAAACGTGGTAAAAAATGTTAATTAGTACAACGGGGTTCTGGTTGTACGATTCATCAGAGAATGAGAGCTTAGAAAACTGGCCAGGAGCAGAAAACCTTTAAGGGCCGGTTGTTCAATGTCTGATTAGCACAAATCGGAGGTAGAACCTCCGGGAAAGTACAACGGCTGCTTTACCGATCACATGTTACATGCAACATGTCGAAATCGTCGATAGTGTAGTGGTAGTGATAACCAGACATTGAACAACCGGCCCTTAGTGCAGTCTTTCGAATATATTTTGACATACAATATATTTAAGAAATTTTGTGATCCAAATCTATTTAAAATATATTAGAACTATAAACAGCTCTATGATCTTGTTCTCAAAGATCGTGCCAACAGCGTATTGGGATTTTCTTTCATAAGTAAAACCAGACCTGAGCTTCCGTATAATGCATGAAATTAATAAAAACTGTTTAAAATTAGTGTCTAGCCGCCACAAAGTAAGAAAACAAAGACAAAATCATAAATTTTTTACAATTTTCTAACACTTCGCAACACCAACGAAAGCAAAATTCTGTTCGACAGAAAATTCGATACTCAACGAAAGTTTCGACACGCTTGCATAGCTCATAATACGAATTTCACTTTCGATCTTCGATAGCCAGCGGGCCAAATATTTACTGGTTAGATGTTAATGCGAAAGCCTTCAATGATCGAGAATCGCTTAAAATAATATAACGAAATGATAAAGCGAAAAAATTAAATTTTCACTGACATAGAATTTTTTATTTTCACCTCACAGTTTCATAAAACTAGAATTGCCCTCTGGTAAAAATATTGCAACCATACATAAAAACAAACTGCTTAGCTACATTGCTGAGTATATACAAAGCGCTACCAACATACCTGGAATAGCAGTTACAAGAAGTGGCAACAATTTTGGTAATGAATGATTGTTTTTTAGTCCTTTTAATTTAGTATCTGCAAGTTTGAAGAAGGAATGACATTTAAGTTTTGATATTTTTGTATGGTCTGGTACATTTTCTGCACAAAACACATTTAAAATTTCCGTTTTTACTGCTGAGACTTATGTACTTGTTTCTGACATACACACACGTACATTGATTGAATGGATTTAACAAAATACATTACATATATTATTCTGTACATGATTTTTTTAATGCATAAACATAATTACTTATTTGCTAACACAAATGTACATACATATCAAAATAAAAAAGTGCATTTTTGCTTTCCCCTTTTAGAATTAGAAGGGAACGCCCTTGATGATCCCTGAAATGCGCTCATAATTAAAAGATTACACAAATTTGCAAATGGACTTTTACACATGTATACATTTTACGAATTAGGTTTGTTTCTATATTTTTTATCAATTTCATATATAGCTATCCGTTCGTTTTTCTCAATCTCTAACTTCTTCAACTCAAATTCTTTTTGTTGCCACCTCTCCTCTATTTTTAGTTTTTCCTCCTCCAGTTTCAAACGTTTTTCTTGTAATTCCATTTCCTTATTAAATTTTTCCCTGTCGAACTGCATTTTTAGTTTCTCTAGTTCATAGCGCTTCAACTCAATTTCTCTCATTTCAACAGTTCTAAAACTTTTGATAAATTCATTGCTCTCAAATTTTTCTTCTTCGCCTTGCGGCCCACAATGCCTCATCAAATTGTACTCTTGTTTGTATATTTGTCCACAAATTTGTTGCACTTCGTATTCCTCAATTTGTTCTTTTTTTGGTAAATAGACTACATCAGTTGAATTCGGAGAAACAGAGCCGAAAGAGTGCTGCGTTTGTTGTTCAGGCGTTATGGCTAGTGGATTATCACTTAAATGCTGAGAAGAACTATCGTCATCATACATCATTGAAAGTGATTGCTCTTTTTCTGTTGGTTCATTCTTGCTTGCATTATTATGGCGCGAAAATTTCGCAGTTTTTCCTTTACCATAACCATCTCCAAAAATTTCGGTTAGTCTTTTATAATATGGGCAAACGCTCAAAACATATCCTGCAAATAAAAATTATTAAAGTTACATACCTGCATACATACATATTTACTATGTATCTGTGAACTTGTGATAAAACAACCTGAGAGAGTTTAGTAGGTTTGAATTCGGACTAAAAAATACTAGGTGTCCCTTAAAAATTGTTATCGTTTTATTAAGCTTCTGCTGAAAATGCACTTTCAAACACACCTGTGGCTAGTTATTCGTTAAAATGTGAACCCAATGAAATATTACTATAAAGAGCAAATGGACTAACTCGAGTTAAGTTGTTTATCAAAATGCCACAAATATATCGTTGTATTTCCTCGGCTGTGTGGAAGATCACCCTATCTCAGCTGCCAGTTCTAAAACGCTGTATCTTAACAAACGGTTTGAAAACTCCCTATGTCAGAATTTGGTTGAAGAACGCACTATCTCAGAACTTAATTTACAAACGCGATATTCCACTCAGCCGACGATATACTGATGTATGTATGTATTTACTTACTTTCAATTTCATGTTCTCTTGTGGGGCCAGTCATACTCTCACATTGAGGGGATCTTAGCCAGTCATTTGCTTTTTTCAAAGCAATGCGCATATTTCTCACTTTCCATCTGAGTGTATTCCATTCGGCATCAATTCCAGTAAGCTTAATCATTTGTCTGTAATATGCTTGAGCGCAAGGCACCTAGAAAAATAATGCGAAAGAGTACAACAATGAAGTGTTGATGTTTTTCTTACCTCGAAATCAATTGACCGTTGTATGTAATCTAAAATAATATCAACTTCTTTTTCTGACCATTTTTTATTGGGCGCGACTCTCAGCCTCGTCCTCTTTTGAACATCGGCAGTAATATTCATAATCAATTTATTCTGCACGCAAGCAAATCGATAAGTAATCAATAGCAAATTCTGTAGCGAGCGTGTTAAACTTACACCTTTCGTAGTAAATAAGCAATATTTTCCATGGTATTTGTTGTTTGTGTACGGCTATGTAGTTTGCTACGATAGCAACCCTGAGTGAAAGCTGTAGCCAGCATTGCCAGTTAAATTTTTGTTTATGTGTTGTCTACACTAAAGATATTTTCTCGCAACATCACTATTTGTGTTAATAGCAGAACATGGGGCAATGAACGGACATATGAATATATGTACATACTTATTTACATATGTACATACATATGATTGTAAGTACGTGAATAAACTTGTGCATAACCGAGAAATATTTTTTAACTCAAAATAAAAGAACAAATCGAGATAACCAACCGGTCAGCTATGGAAATACTAAAAATGCAGATCGATAGTACTTTTTAAGCTGTAGCTCGTTTCTGTAACCAAGGCGAATTTATACATGTATTCGCCTTGTCTGTAACTATTCTCTACCAAAGCGAATTCTTATATGAATTCGCCGCTCTGTTCTCTATGATGATAATAAGAAATATAAATGCATTTACAAGCAAGTGGCAAGTGGTAGGGGATATCATAGTTTTTTGTGCCAAAAAAGGAGCGGAAGCTTAAAGCTGATGCCAGATAAAACGCTTACTTTGCTTTGCGTGACAGATTCGCTTTGACAGATAAGATGAATTGTATGAAAATGCACCAAGCATGCCACATAGATCATTGCAGGCTGCAGCGCGAATCGAAAAGATGGCCAACTTCCATCTTTTTGCGCGCGTTGACAATCATACGGTTTGTGGCGCTGCGTGACATTTATAACTTTGCCAGTAAAGCGCGAGACGCAAAAGGTATGCCACATTGAACGCAAAGAAAACAATTTTATACTGCTTTTTTCTCGTTAAAATTGCTGTGGATTTTATATATTTAGCTTTTAAAATATTAGCAATGCAATTGAATTTTATGTGTCTGCATGAAAACTCGAATTTGGAAGAAACAAAATAAATATTAAACCGGCTGATTGTCAACGCGCGCAAGAAGATGGGAGTTGGCCATCTTTTCGCTTCTCGCTGCAGCTGCAACGATCTATATGGCATGCTTTGTGCATTTTCATACAATTCAACATATCTGTGCAATCGAAACTGTCACGCAAAGCGAAGCAAGCGTTTCATCGGGCACCAGCTTTAGGGATCATAGCCCTTACAAAGTAGAATTCTCCGTTTTGTGTTGCCAAAAAAAGATGGGCAGAAGCAAGAATGATAGAGTACAAGATTGCGCCGTCCTGGGCGTTGACACACAAGTAAACACAAGTGTTGTACCACAAGTAAACAAAGAATAGAGCGAAAAGAAGAACGAGTTGAAACTGCCAAAACAGTTCACTTTACAGCGAAAAACGTGTTTTAATTTTGCTAAATGCGAAAATATTGCATTCTGCTGCTTCAGCAAACGTTTTAGTGCACTCCATTGCTTTGCAATTAAGGCTGCTGCAGAAAACTGCGGCAGCATCTCAGCGGGATTGATTAGTTAACTTGCTAATGGAGGCTGCTTGGAGCAGAAGCAACATCATTGTGAGGAAATGCTGTTAATGTAATAAAAAACATTTCGAGAACGGCTTTGCCGTGACCTATGTACACAAAATGCAGCGATTCGTCCCAGCGCTACACTTGCATCTACGCATCTTGTATCTTGATGGCTGTCGCAATTTAACACACATCACTTAATTTTATTAGTTTTTACGCAGTCTTCAACTCAAAAATCACTCACAAATTGTAAATTAACACAATTTAAACTGATTTTTCACTAATAATTCAAATTTCTCTTCGCTGATTTGTAAACAAAGGTTTATTTACAAGTTACCACAACTGTCAAAATCGGCAAAACCAAAGTAGCGGTACCACTGACGGCGCCACCTTTGTTCGCTGTTCGCTTTGTTCGCTGCACCGAACTTCTTTCAAGTGGAAGAATACTGCGAACGGCGAGAGAATGAGACAATGTGCGATAGATGTCAGAATGTTCTAGAGTTACCATGTGTGCGAAGCAGCGCGCGTATAAAGCTCGTCGGCGATTTCAAGCATCCGTTGATGGTTACCCCAGCAACCGAGGCAATCGGAGATCGTCGTGTCACACGTACTTGTTGTCGGCTCGCGTTGATGGAAAATCAAAAATTTTTGATTTTCCATCAACGCGACCGCTTGACAAGCGGTCTGTTTGATAGTGGCGCAAAGCGTTGACAAGCATTAGTGTGTTAGTTTGTTGTGATATGTAAAATGAGCAAGTTCGCGGAAGATAAAGATTTTAGTGGCAAGTAGCAAAAAAATCGTCATCCGATGAAGACATGTTTACGTCCGCCCACTACGAAATTTTATTGCAAATGGTGTTGACGCTTTATGCTTGAGTGTCGCCGGGCAAGCTTCAAGCACCCGACATTCAACCCGACACTCACACATGTACTCGTTGCTGGGGTAACCATCAACGGATGCTTGAAATCGCCGACGAGCTTAAAGGCGCTGGTACAGTTCAGTTGCGAATCAGCAAGCTACAAGCTCGGTTGTGAAACAGAGATCAATTGTTTAGCAAGTTTGGTACAGTGGTGTATCTAATTGCTTTAACGAGTATCGTAAAGTGTTTGCTGTACAATAAAGTTGATTGTACTGTAATTTGGCCTTCTTGCAAATAAGGATAATCGTTATACGACGTTTCTACAATTTGCAATTCGCTCTCTCATTCGTAATTCGCCCTCCCATTCGTTATTCGCCATCCAATTACACTTAGAATTACGTAATTCGCCATACAAAATTTTGAGAGCGAATTACCTCATTTGTAGGTAATTGAGATCCAATTACCATGCGAATGACGAACGAATCGGTGCCTTCTCTAATATTTACCGGAAATATATCGACGTTTTCTAGTTGCTGAAAAATTTGTTAATAAAATATTCTCTATATAAAATAAAATCGTCCATATAATTTAAATTTTTGCTCCATTTTCGATATTTTCAGTACCCAAAAAAAAATAACAAATGGCGAAGAACAAGAACAAGAAGTAGTGCTGGCAAACGAATTACGAATGTGTGTGTTGCGTGGAAACAGGGTAGTTCACAAATTACTTAGCGCATGACTTAGGGCCAATTTCAAATCAATATTTAAATGGCACTTAAGTTTAATTGTGGATATGTGTGTGTTGGGTTTCAGATCAACTTTGTTTTTACACTATAACAACAAGTTCACATATGAGCCGCTCACCGTCTGTGCAAATGACAGCGAGCATGTTCGTCGTGTGTGGCTAGTGTTAGAAACGGCTTGATGAATATGCTGTCAAATGAACAGCTGATAAATGTAAACAAATGAAGTTGTGTTTCCACTTCAACGCGGAGCTGCCGGTTTGTTGGAAAATTCGCTCAATGTTATAACGAATTAAACTGTATATAATTATAAAGCAAACATCTTAATAAACATACATTTAGAAACGTAGTATTTATTATTATAAACTGCCTTATCCTGAGTTTCCAAAAATCATCCGAAATTTGTCATCCGCCCACAGTAAAACCATGGAAACCAAAAGTGAAAAGTGAACCGGTTCGGGGAAAACGAAACTCATGATAAGGCTGAAAATATTTTATCACACCAGTAAAATAAAATAAATTGATTTGCTGCTGCCTCCTAACAAATCGGAGTTACATTTAATATAAACGGCGTAAGCCTTTTCGATCAGCTGTTTAGGCTAACCACATGTTGAATTCAGGTAGCGATAAAATTTGGTGATGGAAAAAATGGCGAAAAGTTGCCAACTGGTGAGCTGAGCGGAACTACTCAACTGTGCCTTTCTAAAACGGCGTTTCCACGACAACCAAATCACGTGGTTCGCTCTCTCAATTACAAACGGCGAATCAACCTGAGCTCGAATCGTAACATCCGTTCACGGATCGAAAACGATACGAAAGAAAATTACGCGATAAGTCAGGCGGTATAAGCTGAATGGGACAAAGAGTACCTTCACGTATGTCATAATCCGAAAAATGTGGTTTTACGTGGCGAGTAATACTATATCGTATGTGACGATTCGAGCCCTGTTTACGCAACACATTCGTGATTCACTTTGCATCTTTGCTTCTTGTTCTTTGCATTCGTTTATTGTTTAGTGTGTTTTTTATCGTGCATTTCAACGGTGGAGAAAACATTCGTAGTGGTTGAATAGCTAAATCAATAGTTTTAACGAATCTGGCTATTTTTTCAATGTTTGCGCTGGTGAGTATGTGTGTGGTCTAACAAAAGAAAGATACAAAAAAGAACTGAAGGAAATACATGCCATAGCGGCTAATAAAGGATGCAAGGGAGATCTGGTAGAGGAAATCCGAAGGCAGCACTGAAACAAAAAGTCAAACAGAGAAGAGAACAATGACAAAAATTGTGCGGTATTAACCTATACTGGAAAGTCAAAGTACAAACTAGCAAAGCTGTTCCAGAAACACAAACTTTGCACATCATTTAGAACAAATAAAAACGTGGGACGGATACGGAACAGAAATCAAGTAAACCCATTGGATAAACAAGGAGTGTATAAACTAACTTGCAAATGCCAAACATAACGGATGTTAATATCGAGACACCGAAGATGAAACTCACTTAAAAAGCTGTAGTAGCGAATATATTTTGAAAAGGGTTGCCACCTGTTTGAAAAGTCAAATTTAAATTAATTATACGCAAGCTATCTGAAGAATTAAAATATGGTTGCCTAACGAAATATTGTTAAGAAACCGTTAGTTTGAATGTTTTGCATAATATTTAAGTCTTTCACAAGGGTGGCCACCTTTTTACAAATTAAATTCAATTATTTTAAATTAAGTATTACAGTAAAATGCGCGCAATGGTTCTGGCGGTAGATTTATCGGTGGTGATTTGAGATTTACCCCTGCACAACTCAGCCTTGGGTCTCCGAATGAAGCTTTAATCATAACACACAAGAGTTCGATATACTCAGTGGTGCAGCAGGTCGATTTAATCTGATATTCACGGCACTTTTTCAAACTTGGCGATTATTCGTAATGACTCCAGCGACACCTGGCGGCTTTTTTTGGCAGTAGTATTGCCTGTACCGTTACCAATACATATTCTGAATATTAGCCAAAGTGACGAGTGAAATTGTCTATACTATCCAGAGAGCCACCCAAAAGCACACAAAAAACTGTTTGGATGGAACGTGTCACGCTCTTTTTATAGATCGAAATTTTGTTTAGCCTATGACCATCCTTGGGGCGTCTGACAAATAAGGTTTTAATTTGAAAATATTTTGAAGATGGTTAAACAAATTTTAAACCTCCTGTTTTCTAATTAAGTTTTCTTGAACTAAATTTTGCTCAATGTAGCACGTAGAAATTTCATACACTCAGCGAAGCAGGTGTGGGCGATCTAGTATCTAATAATTAATCATCGAAGAAAATCACATTACCTAGGATAAATGAACATAAATTAAGGACAAAAATTCGAACCAGACAGAACGTAAAATGACCCTGAAGATGGCATAATTCCCTAACCGGCTTGTCTGCAAACCAAGCTTGAAATTCGTTCCAAAATGAATCATCTTACCACCCTGTCGGAAAAATCAACCATCACCGACATAAGCATTTTTTTCTCAAAAAGTATCAGAGAAAAATCCGAAAATTTATATCATGTATTTTTTTAGTATCTATCAATTAAAAAATAACGAAATGTATATTGAAACTAATTTTTTGAGACGTATAATGTATGTACTTTTATTTATTTTTCTTACGTTACAAGAACAAAAGAAATTTGTATGTACTTCACGTCACATACATATAAATTTATACGTATGTTTATACTTTTACAACTAATAAAAAGTATTACATTAAATGGCAACGTATGATTTTGCTTTTTAAAGCGAGATATTTAAGTAAACAAGGAACAAAATAATAGGGCGTCAAAACACACATATTGATGGCAAGTTTAATCAGAAAGAAGAAAGTTGCAGAGCTTTTGCAAATAAAGACAAAACTCGATTTCTTTTTTTTTCAAAAATTCGATTTTATCCGAATTTTAGCACCACAAAGTTCGATTGTGGAGCAAAAATTCGATGAAAATTCGAATCTCGAAGCTTCGAATATCGAATTTACCTGTCCCTACTTCATTACCAGCTTATGAGATGGTAATAAAATTTACCGGGTACGAGAGTACCTAGAATGCGAAAAAGTTTTAAAATTTGGCAGAATAGACATTTAAATATTAAGTTACACATACAAGTTTTAAACATTTAATATTAAATTTCCCTGCAAACCATTTTTTCAGAGTATTCTGCATTGTAAAGAAATTTTAAAGAATTCGTTAAGATCTAATTCGATTTTTTGCTGAATTTTCTAAAATTAAATAAATTACGCACACTTCCATTCTTTTACGAAATTTCGGAAGAAAATCTGTGAAGCAACGAAAATAATGCTGCTATGTGAATAATATCTTTCAGAACTTTTCCAGAATTTTCTTTATTTTTCGTACAGAAATTTCTTTACGAGTTCGTGTCAACCGCTTCATATAATTTTCTTTGAAAATTCGGAAAAAAATCTTTACAGAAATGAGATACTCCTAACGATTTCCTTAAGATTTCGGGAACTTTGGTTTGCAGGGTTATTTCAATAATGGTGATTTCTTTTCTACCAAGAAATTTTGCCTTTTGATTGCCCCTTTCTCTTTTCGTGCTCGATTCTAAATTAAGTGCAAAGGGTGAAAACATTATGTGTTCATTCCTTAAAGGTTCGTTTAAAAAAGGCACCTTTTCTGCCCTTTGAAGATTTGTCAGGGGAGATGGTTGCCCTGAAAATCAGATGTTTGCTTAAAACGATAATATATAGTCTGTTCCAATAGCAGTCCGGTTTACAGGATTTAGTCAGAACTTACAGGAAGTCGTTCCTATTGACACAAAACCTGTAAGTGGGAACACATTTGAGAGAGTAAATGAGCAACTGTTCCTAGTCAGAAGTTACAGGATTTAGTCCGGAGATTTTTTTCCTGTAAGTTCATGAAAAGTGTCAAACGATCAGCTGATTTACATGTGCAAACAAAAACAGAAAGCAGTGAAAGCAAAGAAGCTTATATTTGTTAAAAAATGGAAGTAAACAACGAAATATTTGAATATGTATAAATTTTAATAATTATTTAGTGATATTTCAGCCAAATCGGTGTAGTACCAATGACATGTAAACAAACCGTCTGACGATTTTACAGGAAATAGTGCTTTTTGCGTTCCTATGCACTTCTGCATCTGTTCTCCTTTTACTCTCATTTGAGAGCGTAAAATTGTAGTTTGACAGTTCCACAGGTTTTAGTCCGAAGTTCAAAGGAACAGACTAATAATGAAATGCGTGAGCTGGACAAGGACAAGAAGGCAAAAACATGCCTTTTCAAAGGGTTGAGTGTTACATCAAGCACATTTTGTAACGTGCTAGGGCAACATTTTTTGGTAGAAACGAAATAACCATAAGCCAACTTACCAAACAATAGTGAAAAATTTGCGATCATCGCATAAGGAACCAATGACTTCAAGTTCGGTATACAGTAAATCAAACATAGTGGGAGGATTTCGTAGCACATGTATATTCGACTATCCCAAATGGACCAATAATGATCACCAAGATCTTTCACACAATTCGCTATGAAAACAACGTAGACACAACAGGAACCGAAATGATAAACGAAAAGAAATGAGTTCACACTGCAACTGTAATTATAAAAGAAAGAGACAATTAATAGAAAATCTCTACTAAACAGTTTGGGATAAGAGTATCGTATAGTAGAGACCAACAGCAACGTTAATCAGGGTTAACGGCGCAGTGGCTCTAATCAAAATTAGGTTTGTATAGTAACTTCTCCAGTAAAACATTGCAGCGAGAGCGTAAAAGCAAAATAGAGCGTAAAATTGAGAAGAAGAGAAAACTAGCAGAAAAAGTTAATGAACACAAAACTAGCAAAAACTTGCAAGTGAACAGTCGTTGCACTGTTTTGACATTCTGCTGTAAACATTTTACCATGATAAAAACATAGCAAGGTATAACCGTTCTCTCAATTTGTCGGCCATGATTTTTTTTTGAAGTTTGCCAACATTTTAAAATCATATAAAAGTGAAAATAAAAAATTGAAATTGTTCGAAATTGTTGTTGCTTGAGATTGAAAATGAAAATGTGTGTGTGAGTTTGTGAGTAAATTTAAAAATTAAATTGTTTGGAAACGTCAAGAATCTTAAAAGTGACTCTCAGCGGTTCTACCTTACTATATTTTTATCATGCATTTTACTATTTATAAATCAGTCTTAAACTCTGCTTTACACACAAGCACTTACACAGTCACAATATTTTGATTTAAACTCCTTTTACTTTTGTTTGTGCTAAACCAATTCAACAAATGGTGGCTTTTGACATTTATTCTTCTTCTTCTTCAGCTAGCTAATTTCTGCTAGTAAAAATTTCACTAGCAAGAATTTGCAGCTCTCCCGTGTTGTTACGCTCTCGATTCAGTGCTCTCTTGCAAATTTTTTGGGTTATCATACGCTTTTCCAGTAAAAATTTGCAGGTTCCAGTACAAATTAGTACTGACTATTGGTTACTATACAAACCTATTGTTCCCTGACAGACGGCAGTATTGCGGATTAAGCATGCCGCGAGGTAGTGCGTTCGAATCCCACGGCCAGCAAACATACAAACTACACCACAGCCGCCGCCGTTCTCTTCTTAATAGTTTTTTGTTAATCCCAGTGAATAAAAAGGTTAGGTTTTACCAAACTTCACTTACTAATTTTGCTATCAATTTTACCCAACTTCCCGATGAGCTAGAAACTTAAAACTTTAAACTTAGCGCAAAACCCGATGGCAATGTAATATGACAGACGAATTTATCCACTAGGGAGCGCAGGTTTAGAGAAAAACACTTTCATGGAAGGAAATAGCTCCACAAAAGGTCTTTTTGATTTATTTCATTTGAAAAAACTTATTCAGGCGTATTCATAGTCAAAACTAAGTTCATATTTAAAGCGGCTTTTTAACGTAATTTTTAATGGGTTGTCAAGAACAACTTTAAGTACCAACTTAGTTTTGCCTTTTAACGCCGTTTTTCACAACAATCGATGTTTTGCTTTAAAACATCGAAAACACCTCCACCTCTACGAACTTGGGGCTCAGTTAGTCCGGACTTAATTTACGTAACGTTACCTAATATATTGGCCAACGCAATATTATTTGGTTTACGAAGTTTTTGAAGTTGCTTATATGCGGAAAAGTGACCAAGCTGAAAAGGAAAATATAAAAACTAAATATTTACGCTTCCGGCTGACTTGACGTGTTGAGTTATCATTGACGATTTCCTACGTAAGTCAAGTCTAGACTATCTAGACTATTATACTTTTTTAACTGTTTATATAGTCAGTGCGAGTATTTTCTTCTATTTATATAAATACGATACTAACCCAAGAGTGATGGAATACAAGATTGCGCCGATCAGAGAGGATTTTTGAGAATAACTTTTGTGTGACGTCGCACTGGTGCAATTGCGAGAGAAATGCCAAAACGTGAGCAAGAATGGAAGAAGAAAAAATGTTGCAAGGAAAACGTAAACAAGTTGCACCAGTGTGACGTCATGCAAACAACGATTCTCTCAAATTCGTTAAGAGAGGAATAGCGGTCCGAGATCGGCGCAACCTTTGTATTCTCTCAATCGTGATACTAACCGTAATACTCTCTGCAGTCCACGCATACACGGTGGACCCTCAGCAAGTGCTTCCACCACGCCCTCGGCATACGTAAAGACTGGCACTCGTCTTCGTTTTGCTATCTCATACAAGCCAGACATCTGGAATTAGCCCAAAATGGCTATATGACAAACACTTTCTACGCACGTAACGACTTTCTCACCAATATTTGTTTAGAATATAAGACAATAAGACCAATTAAAGTTGTACTAATCAAAGCATTCAACCAGCCGGCATTGTAAAACGCCATAGGTGCGACCAATATACCCGTTCCAATAATTGCTTTAATAACATTCATTAGCGCACCAAGATTTCTTTCAATAAATAAGCAATAATTTGTAAATGTTATGTAGTTCCGGATTCTATTAAGCACTTACGATATGGGAAAGGGCACCTCCCGATGCTCGTACGGAATATAATCATCTTTTCTAAAGAAAGAAAGTCAACATTGAATATAATTTAATCAAAAAAACTTACGATTCGGCCATTATTTAATAGAGTCAACCATGATACAAAAAAGAAGGTAGCATGATACAAAAAATAAGGTAGTTTCAATAAACAACTTTTGACGGATAATACAATTTTTGGGAGTTTCATAAATTGTGAGTATTATCATCGGCCTTGCCACTTTGATAATATTAAAACAATAAATCGGAGTATTTTCCTTCCCATATTTATACCAATGTAATAATATTTAAAATCAAAAACCATTATCAGTGCTTGGTATTTTTTTACTTACGTAACTCGCACTATTTTCATTAAAAATATATAAAATATAGACTATTAAAGAAGACTTCATCGTAATTGTTCTTTTTATTTTATAATAAAAACCACGCGCGCATTATGCTGTTATTTTTTCGTTTTCTTATTTTGAATGCAATCGTGCGATCTAAGAATCTAATTCTAAAGAATGTTCTTCCCAAATAAAACCTCTTTATATTTAGGTTCAAATTTACTTTTAAATTTCTCATCAGATTTTGCAAAAAATTAGCTTTCGCAAATTTTGAACTTAAACTTTCTAATGTATGCAAAAAACCTGAAGTCGGCTTGAACATACCGCCCTCCGATAAACAATTAACCTATCGTCGTATAAAGTACAAAACCGCGTATCAACAAAATGCAAAACTGCCTATGTGAGGTTGCATAAATTATTTTCTAGAGAGTAAAAACACTCATATTTCAAAATGGTTCTCCTTTTTATACAGCAATTGCATTTCTGGGTACTATATTTCAGGACAAATGGATACGGCTTGAGCCAGGAGCTTGTGTCCAATTTTTGGCAAAAATGTCAGTTACGCGGTTTTGCAGAACGACGATACGCGGTTTTGTACTTTAAACGACGATATGGAAGTATAATTTCGATCACTTTCTTCATGTGTTCGGAAACCTAGTCATGAACCCCATTTTCGAAATTATGTAGCCGGCATAATTTTCAAGTCCATCATATTCCACATCTTTGAATGTACTGATAAAATCTTCTGCTTTAAAAAAAATATTTCCTCTAGTGATCAGGTAGCATGAATTTGGTGAAATGTCATAATTTTATTAAAAGTCAAATGGTTAACAACAACAACGAATGTCACTAAATGGAACTACCTTCTTTTTTGAATCATGGAGTCAACTATTGCAATTGCTAATCGAATGAATCTTTCAAATTAACTGTCATATTCCAGACTTAGGGTTACGTATTTTTTTTTAAATATAAAAAAGAGAATATAATAGATAAATGTTTGTACAAACACTTACGCCAGAATATTTTTTTACACGTATTCAGCAGATTCACAAGTCTTCTTAAGCGACTTAATGTCTAAAAGTCTTAAAATATTTTAAGACCTTACGATGCTTAACACGTCTTCTTCTGTGTTGGCGGTGTAACCGCCTCAGCGATTGAGTCCAAAATAGCACGCAAGTCGTTTCTGTCCTGTGCCAACTGACGCCTTTTGTAAATACCCTAAAGGCCCGTTTACATACAACTTTGGCGTTGCGTTGGCGTTGGCGTTGGTTTGACAGAACGCACGTTAAAAGAATGCTTGCTACAATGAACGCTTGGCGGCGAATCCTTGGGCCACTAAATTAACATATTAACGACAGATAAATTAATATTTCATATCAATAATTGCATTAAAAACGATATTTCTTGCCCGCACTTGATTAAAAAGGAAAAATATTTCACATAATTTTATTTATTCGCAACAGCTGACGAGCGACGCACGCGAAAAGTTGAGAGTTGGCCATCTTTTTGCTTTGTGTTGGCGTGAGCGTTGTCGAATTTTGGCTATGTGGACGGCTGCATTTGAATTCATGTATTCATAGTCAGCTGTTGAAGCGACGCCAACGCCAACGCAACGCCAAAGTTCTATGTAAACGGGCCTTAAATGTGTATGTGGTTTTGCATTTTGATTCTCGGGCACTTCCCCCTTTCATTCCTGGTGGACTGCTAATCGTTTCTTTTAAAGCGCAGCAGACAATACTAGGATGTACGTTTTATTACCTACTATAGTTCATAGTTAGTCATCCATGCGTGCTTGACCTCAACTTCCGTCTATTGTTGGTGAACCTGCAGTCTAACCATTGACTCTCCTAAAGTTCATGCCGCTGACGCAAAGCTTCTCTTCTGTTCTTATTTTGCGCTGTAACCGCCTAAGCGATTTTGGCCGAGTTCAATAAAGCACTCCAGTCGTTTTTCTTCTGTGCCAACTGCCGCCAATTGGAAATTCCAAGTGAATCCAAGCCCTTCTCCACCTAGACTTTCCAGCGCAGTGAGGCTCCCTCTTCCTCTACTACCACCCGCGGGTTCCGAGTTGAATACTTTAAGAGCTGGAGCGTCGGTGTCCATTCGAACGACATGATCAAGCCAGCGCATCCGCTGTATTTTAATTCGCTGCACTATGTCCATGTCGTTGTAAAGCTCATACGGCTCATCGTTCCATACTTCTAATGCTCCAAGAGCCGCCGGATGTTTTCATTGTACGTCGAGAGAGGACTTTTATCCTGAATTGCCTACTCAGTTCAAAGTAGCTCATCTTGGCAAGAGTGATTCGGTGTTGGATTTCAAAGGTGACATTAAATTCGGTGTTTATAATGGTTACCAAGTAAACGAAATTCTCTACTTTCTCGAAATTATAACTGCCAGCAGTAACGGAGGGCCCACGCGGCAATGCGCTGCCGGTTTTTTTTTTTATTACAGGAGATACTTCGTGTTGTCCTCGTTTACCATCGTACCCATTCGCTTTGTTTCCTTTTCCAGCTTAGAAAATGCAGAACAGATTTCGCGGTTTTTGTTACCGATGTGTCGATGTCGAATGCATTTGCTGTCTGTTGTGATTGCAGCTTTTCGACGTTAAGCTTTCCTTGCATATTCGGGCGCACATTTTTTGCTGCACAGAGGCGTGTGCGTATCTTGGCTGCAACAAGATAGTGGTCCGAGTCGATGTTTGGGCCTCGGAGTGTATGTACGTCCAAAACACTGGAATCATGTCATCCGTCTAACATAACATGGTCGATTTGGTTTCTCGAACCGGAGACGGCCACATAGCTTGATTAATCTTTTTATGCTTGAACCTAGTACTGCATACCACCATGTTTTGGACCCCGGCGAAATCGATCAGCCTCAGTCCGTTGTCGGACGTTTCCTCGTGGAAGCTGAATTTTCCGACGGTGGTTCCAAAGATCCATTCCTTGCCCACCCTGGCATTGAAGTCGCCAAAGCACGATTTTGATATCGTGAAGGGGGCAGCGCTCGTACGTGCGCTCCAAGCGCGCATAGAAGAGATCCTTGGATACCTCATCCTTCTCTTCCGTCGGGGCAAGGGCACAGATGAGTGAGATCTTGATGTTGATTTGATGCGGATTATGGCTAGACGTTCGTCCACCGGGGTGAATGACTGTTTTCGGCGACGGAATTTTTCTCCCACCACAAATCCAACACCGAATTTTCGCTCCTTTACATGGCGCGTATAGTATACGTCGCTAGGCCCCAGGCATTGCTTGCCTTGCCCCGTCCAATGCATTTCTTGGATGGCGGTGATGTCAGCTTTTGTTCTTACGAGGACATCAACAAGCCAGTAAGAGGCACCTTCCCCATTAAGGGTCCGGACATTCCAGGTGCATGCCCTCAAATCGTAGTCCTTTAAACGTTTGCTGTGGTCATCTTCATAAGGGTGGGTCTCATCCGATTCGCTTCTTCACTAGAAGGGGTTTTTACGTGGCGGGTCCCAAACCCAGCGCACAACCCATTGCTGGGACGGAGGTGGTTTCGCAACCAAATACACGTTTATATAGTGAGCTGCAAGACAGTGAGCTCCAAGACAGACACCCGCTTGCATCCGCACCTACTGGTGAACAGACGCTGCAGACTTCAGTGAGCCCTTAAACCGAATAAGCCGGAGTGGCCCCACCGAAGCTCCCTCTCTTTCTGCCATCTCGCACATGGGTTGCTCACGTTGCCCAGTAGCCGTGTATAGTAGTATAGCCGTGCAACTGTTACTGCATACCCAGCACAACGACTATACCCCATTGCACTCCAAACTGTTTAGTCGGTTCAGTATTTTTTTTGGAAATGCACCGTTCGTGGAGATGGGGGGGGAGGGAGAAATTTTTTTTATTAATGACTTTTACTTTTCTCTAAACCCAACCACTTTTTTATCAACTGTCACCATGACTTTTTTCTACCTGCCTCCACATAGTCGAAACGCTGTGCGACTTTCCGGTGAAAAGATCCTTCGACTTCGCACCCATTGGTGGACAACGAAAACAAGGGCGCCCACGAACGAGGTGGAAGGACCAAGTACAGGAGGTCTGCACTCGGGATACGCAAATGCGCACAGGAGAGAGGCAATTGGAGAAGTTTTTTGGTCCCGGCCCAAACCGACAAACGGTTGTAGTGCCAAATAAGAATAAAAAGATTCGTAATTCATAGATTGTCCAAAGATTACTGATTATATAAAAAGCTTTAAGTGTGGTGCGAAACGATCTGGCGAAGGTTTTCATTATATTTTATAAGGGATATTTTTATTTTTTCATATTCCCTGTTTAATACTTTACCTCGGCCGACTATTCCACTAGTATTTTGGAATAACTTTACGGTACAGTTTATAAAATAAAGTACAAAAGGCGTCCTTTATTTTGAAAAAAAAAAAATATACATATATATAAAGGTTAGGAGGTTAAAATAAAACACTGTCATTCTAAATAAAGGACGGATGATCACTGTACCTATGAGTAACAGTTTTCATGTTAATGTTTGAATTTTTTTATTCGCAATGCAAATTTAAGCTTAGTATCCTGCAGGCAAGAATAGCAAAAACTCCATATAAAAAAACTTTCTTAAGTGTAGAAATTTTCTGGCGTCAAATATCCTTAAGGCAGTACGCAGTTTTTAAGAAATTTGCTACGCTTTCTACTACCGTTTCCTAAAGGCACACACGCAAACCCATGTTTGCAACAGAAATATATGCCCGTTCCATTATTTCGCGAGGAAATAGGGAGGCAACAGGCTGCGAAGTATCAGATGTCAACATCCTAGGACCCTTTCCTTAGGAACTGGATACTAAGCTTTAAAATGAAAATACATATCTTCGGAAAATGAGCTGATCTAGAAAAACCGTATACAGATGCGTTATCTACGACCCACCATTAAATTTACGCGTATCGGCATATTTTTGTGTCATTTTAGCGTGGCTACAGTGTTAAATAACACATCAACAAAGATTTGGGCTATTAACATCTGCCTGATTATCGGGATGTTTGACTATGAGGTTAGCATTTTATTAACTGTACAGTTTAAAAATACACTGGAAAATAATAATTTTTAACTTGTTACCTATGATGTGAATACCCACATTGCTTAATTATAACGTCATTTTACTCCTTATTACTCTGATACATAAATATGCTTAATCTATTCCTTATCCACCTGTCTTTCCTCACCATTATCAACCGGCCAAATCCGTTCCGTCGATATAAAGCTTAATCATTTGTTCAATTGGAACAAAAGAACCGGTTGCACCTCCAATAATACCAAAAGCTATCACTAAAACACTAAGTATTAGATAAATTTTAGCAGGTCCATAGTCAGTCTTATATCTAATCGAAATATCAATGAGGGCTGGAAATATGAGACCCAGAAACGAAAGACAAAATGCTCCAACGAATGAAATGATTAAGGTCAAATTGGGAAGAATTATGGCGAATATCACTATACGGAGAAAGTAAAAAATGTGAAGAAAATAAGAATTAATACCTTTGTATGTATGTATATCTGTATGCACTTGATACTAGCGTATGATTTGGTACATGGTGTTTGCGCTAATAAAACGCAAACGAGTGAATATTTTCCAGATCTTTTTTTTCTCATTATTTATTGTATTACCCAAAAGCTGAAGATTGTTGAAAATAAATGGCGTCCCATGCATTGGACAGTTTTCTATTGCTCGGCAAGTGTACATCAAAGGATGAATATTTGGAGTTCGAACCATAGTTTGTAGTCTCATCTAAGTTCTTGGCTATCAGATGGCCTCCTCACAGTGAGGGGACGGCCGAATATTCCACTAGTCTCTTGGAATAACTTTACGGTACCAAATAAAAAACTCCTGGCTATAATGCTCAAAGTATTTCGCCATTATTGAAACTGCATTTTTGCACTTTGCAAAACCATTTTCAAACAAACGGAAACTTGAAAAACGCTATTTTTCGTAAATTTAACTTTTCAAATAGCAAACATTGCTAGTACCAAGTACATATGTATAAATATAACCAATAACTTAATATTGTACTATGTACGTATATTACCTGAGCCAACCGCCAGACACATTCGAAAGACTAATTCCAGCGCGAATGCCCTTTTTTCTGCGACCTTGTCCTTCAGCCAATTGTCCCACATTACCTCGATTGACACATAAGCTTGTAGAGGATGGGTGATGTACATGGAAAAGGCGAAAATAACGCGCGCAATATTGGCAAGACTTGTAAAATAAAGACGAAACATTTAGGTAAGCTTGTTCGAAGTAATGCATAGTTTTTAGCAGTGGACGTCTTACATCTCATCATATGGTAGACTCTGTAGAATAGCCGATTTGATGCCGTCACCATAACGCCAATAACCAAAAAATCCAAACGTTAGCTGTAGCAGAATGACAATAAATATACTTCGACTCAAAACTCCGGTTATGCCAACATAAGATTTCGGAGTTTTCATCTTCGCCTCAATAGATACAATCTGTGTAAATCAATGAATATATACATATGTATACATGTGTTATTGTATAGGTATTAAATTCTATACCAATCCTGCTCCCTCTAATGCAAACAATGTGGCACCAAAAAATAAAGGATAAAGGCGAAAATCTTGAAACTGTTGCAGTTCTTCAATTGGTTGAAGATTACTAAACATATAGTAGAAAATAATGCCGAACCCTGGAAATGTAACAGAACATTAAAATATACCTCTACATGTATTTACATTTGTACATATCAACCAAAACCATGGTACAGTTTCCTAACTAAAAACACTATCAACTGATTGCCAAAAAATGCCTACAGCTGAGATCACCTGTTTTTTTTTTGGCATTTGCTTATATATTTTACAATTTCTTTAATTTCTATTACAATTTCTTCTATTTCCGTTACAATTTATTTAAAATACACTAACACACTGAACCAAAAATACCAATGCACTAACCAAAAACACACCTACAGCCTGCCAGAAAACACGGTAAGAGAAAGAATTACGCAACATGGGGAACTGTAGGATGACCAAAATTTCGTGTTATATGTTTTGATCCATTTCGACAGCTTATACAAATTCTGAAATACTTGAAATACTCTAGGTTTTTGAATTTTTAGCTTCCTGCTTGGAGTGACTGAACTTATTTAAGACGAAGGATACAAATTTCCAAGGCTACTTTTTACATCATTCAAAAGATATAACTGTGAACACAAAACATATGTCTGTAAAATTACTCTAAAATTTTTTTCATTTGATGCCCATATGTACATAATAATAATAAGTAGGGTTCGGAATCTCATGCAAATGAATGCTTTTACTCGGCGTCTTCAAGTGGAAATGGTTAAGTTAGCTTTACGAATCATGAAATTTCCTTTATAATGGCATTCAACCGTTAGTGCAAATTTTTGCATTTTTACAATAAATGCATTTGGCTTTGGCATATTTTTGCTTTTGTTTTATTTACAACCATTAAAATTTAGTGCGAAATCTCCTGACAAAAAAAATGACCTATAATTTTTTCCCAAATATTCATCTGAATACCTGAAATTACCCTAATATGGGTTCCGGGACATAGGTACATTTACGGAAACGAGGCAGCGGACGAACTAGCAAGGGGCGATTCCGCACTGAATGTGTCCCACGTAAAAATTAAAGAAAATTATCTTTTGAAGTCCAAGCAGAATGATTTAGAGTGCTTCTGCCTGAGATCGTACTGAGAGCGTGTGTGAATTGGTAACAAAGTTAGCTGCGAGTAAATTTTTGACAAGTATGAGGGAATAATATTTCACTAGCATGGCACGCTAATATGTATACACCCATAGATAAGAATAGGAACAGTGTTTTTAATGTAAAAACACAATTTAAAACTTTCTACCATAACTAAAAAGTCAAGTATACCTCTCGTTTGGTAAACATTTTCATTTGGCTTGTACTTCGTTTATGAAAAGTAATTTTTTTCACCTACTTTATGTAGATAATTAGGCGTTTATATTAAACTGATTATTTAAACATACTTACCAATTACCAGCGAAAAGTTCGCTGCCATTGCATAAGGAACTAATGACCTCAAATTTGGCACACAGTAGATCAAACATAGTGGTAAGATTTCGCAACACATGTATATTCGGCTATCCCAAACGGCCCAGTAATGATCGCCAAAGTCCTTTATGCAATTTGCTATAAAAACTACATAAACGCAACAGGAACCAAAATGATAGATGAAAAGCAAAGTATTTACGCTGCCTCTGTAATTTAAGTAAAACATAAGTACATCTATAAATTACTCATACGCACAAATTTTATATACGGAAATTAAACAAAAAGCGCTCGATCCGAGATACTCCCATAAAGTATCACTGGGTGACTGTTAAAATGAGCTACGAAAATAAATTCACTGGTTTACTGAGGGATTGACCAATACAATATATATAATTCTCAGTCAACTGAAGACCCCCCTGTCTAAAATTAGTTATAGTATTTTGCGACGTATGCGGCCGCAAATAAAATATTCTTACTCCTAGTTTCACCTATCCTTACATGCCTTTCCACCACCCTGATTTTCTTGCGAATGCAAGAGATCCTCTAATGGAGTTTTTTCTAAGCCGTACAAGCTCTAGAAGAAGTGCTCTCCAAGCAATTCGAGGCACTTTCGCCGGACTGTTGTTTTTCTTTGGACATTTCCTTAACTTGGAAAGGCAGGAATCTCAGAGAAGGTTGTATGTTTTGAACCGCTTTGTTTGGTTTTGTGGATTTTTTTGGGCTCTTTCTCGAAATGAGAACTATTCTCTCAGAACTGGGTGATGGTTCCATTTCGAAGTATGTGACCAGAGGCACTCCCCAAGAGGGCGTTCTCTCCCCTCTACTCTAGAATCTAACCGTTAATGCCGTACTACTAAGCCTAAAGGGCGGCGGTTGTCAAGTGGTAACGGGCAAACATCTGCACGTCCTGAGTTGGTCTGGTAAACATCTGGTCCCAGGAATGTGGACTTAGTGTCAATCCTACCAAGACAGAAATGGTAGTTTTCACAAAGAAATATAAAACTCCTTTATTTAAACCTCCCACCCTAAACGGGGAGGCACTAACTCTGTCAAACGAGGCCAAATACCTTGGAGTTATTCTAGACAAGATACTGGACTGGAAACGAAACATTTAAGACCGCTCAAGGAAGGCCAATAAAACCGCATATAGTACACTCCACTTAGCGCCAAATAATAAGAAGAAGTACACTGGATGTACACAGCTGTGATAACACCCATCCTTTTCTACGTGGTCTTCGTATGGTGGCCTGCGCTAAACAACACTTTTTCCAGAGCCAAGGAGGAATGAGTGCAGAGGACGGCTGTCATGCTCGTCACGGCCCACTACACCTACTTAATCTCTGGAAACAATGTTAAAACTTCCACCTGTGGATCTCTACGGCGAATCTCGGGCTGGCAGCAGTGTGGTCGGGTTGAATACGATCCAGTCGTGGAGATACCTCAGATTTGGGCACGCAAAAGTACTTGAAACTCTACCGGATAATCCACGACAGTTACATTATACCACTCCTCCACTCTGTTTAGACAACAAATTCTCGACAAGAAGTCCATAGAGGAACGAATGGGAAGTGGCTACAGACTTAAACCCAAGGTCTACGGCCATATATATAATGGTTCCAAGCTCAATAAAAGAGTGTGTAGCGGGATTTACTCTGACGAACTCGTCCTAACCCTCAGTTTTCGCTTACCGGACGATGATTGTAGCGTCTTTCAAGCAGAGCTAAACGCCATACCGGAGGCGTTTCGGTGACTCATAACCTCCGCCCCTCCGGGACTGGCTATCTTTATCTATCCTCACAGCCAGCCTGCTATGAAATCTCTCAAATCTTATGAAAACAACGTCCAAATTAGCCATAGAATGCAGGAAGACTCTCAACTTGCCGGCATCAAAATGCTCATGCCTGTTGTATGGGTCTCTGGACATAGGGAAATTCCTGGCGACTACCTAGCTCACGAGCTGGCAAGGAGGGGGACGGAAATCTCTGAAGTAAATTCTGCTCAGAATGCGGGCACACCTCTAACCACCTGCAAACACAGACTACAGGCTGAACTCATCGAGGAGGTAAGATTGATGTTAGGTGATTCATAGCTCTTACTCGGCTGGAGGACCGCTCCCCTCTCAAAGAAAGTGCATTCACTTAATTGCAATTTGCTTCGGATCTAGTTGGCCAACCATGAAAGTTTTGAATGAATTTTTATGAAAAATTTCCGCTGAATCCGAGTACGAAAACAAAAAACAATAAAGGAGAACAGTTTTTGAGGTATAGCCAAATTTTGGATTTTTGAGATCTGAAAAAAATGCACTCACTTGATTGTAATTTTCTTTGGATGTTGTTGGACAATCTTGAATTCGTTTCTGTACTAACAAAGGCTATTAAATTTGCTATCATCTACATATAAGTAATTTAGGAGCTTAAAGCTCTTGGTTCGACGATAAAAATCATAATAGAATGTCCGACTTCCCGCTCGATCGCATCAGACAGCCTATTGTTTCCAAACCTCACCGATGTCGTAGGACTGATGAGTTAGTAAGACTAATTTGGTCTGCTTCAAGGCAAATGGCAGTTTGGTCAGTTCAGAAGGCAGTGAATGGAAACCTTGGAATGCAAGGTAGTTCGGCGTTGTCGATTCCTCCCTTTCTTATTTGTCTTCTTACTTCTACAAATGGTATAACCAAAATCGGTTTCTATATGTCAGTCCCGTATTAGAGGCAGCTATCACACCTTAATATAAATTACATAATTCTGGTACTGTTTATGGTAGTTGCTTTGATCGTACGAATCATAAGGAAATTAAATTACTTAAAGACTATACTAACCGCAATATTTTCTGTAACCCATGCATAAAAGGCGGTCCTTCAGCTATCGCCTCCACCAAGCCGTCGGCATAAGAGAAAATTGGCACACGTCGTCTCTTAGCTACCTCGTACAAGCCACACATCTGAAAATTTAATTAAATACCTTAAATTTGAGTACCTTTTTATAAATGTTCATTTTCCTACCAATATTTGTTTGGAATATAAAACAATAATGCCAATCATAGCTGAACTGATCAGCGCATTTAGCCAGCCAGCATTATGGAATGCCATAGGTGCAGCCAATATACCAGTGCCGACTATTGACTTGATGACATTCATTAACGCGCCAAAATTCCTTTCGATAAAAAATATGTACTTTTACGTATTAATTGTGTGTGCTGAATTGGGATTTGAGAGACTTACATGAGTTTAAAATTTAAAAAAAGTAATAATCCTAACCATTTTTATATTGTTTTATAATTACATAAATACAGCATTCCTTCTCCAGTATTAAAACAATCGAGCAAAATAAAATAAATGCAAATTTCTTCCTTAATTTCTATTCTGTTAGTGGTGTTATGAATTTATCAGCCCTGTTCTGCATTCCGACTTGGAATTGCATCGAAATTCATTGTAGAAAAAGGGACCAAACCTCCTACTTGTAATTTCGTTCTTGTGTCAAATTTCATTTGAAAATATTAAAAAGGGAAAACAAAAATGTGTTTAATTGTTTTAATAACTGTTTTTCTCATTAATTAGCAGCAAAAAAATAAAAAAGTGAAGCGAGCAATTTTACGCGATCGCAGCAATCCCAGGTATTACCGGACTCTGCGTAAGTAGTAAACAAACCAGGGTTCCTCAAGATTTTGGGTGACTTGCAGCCTTAAGTACAAAAAAAAGTTCCATCTCCGCAGTGTTGAAGCTGGGAGCAACGCGAATGGACCAACATTGCCGTGGGAAGGAGTGCCGTCTCCAAGGTGGAATTAGAAATGATTACCCTTATGGAGCGAAGGCTTTGCTCAAAGTGGATAAAGTTGTTCATGCCTGAGCAAAATAGAAGAGAGGCCAAAAGTTCTTTCTACGAACAACTTGGTGATTCTTTATTATATGAAAAAGTTTTTGTAAAATAAATTTTTCATTTACTTCAGATTTGCGATCATATGATAATTGGAGCTATCGATGCTTGTCATCATGGTTTTAGCCATGATTCCTTTATTTGGAACATGAGCAATGCAAGAAATTTTTTTATGACAATCGGTAACTTTTTTCTCCGTGGTGAGACGGGAGGAAAAATTTGCTATGGCGTACAAATAATAGAATTTTGCTGTGCCAAATGCAAAGTAAAATTTTGACAGTTGAGAAGCCAAACAAACGCTCTTGCGAAGGCTCTATTTTTGTGTGTTGCTGAGATTGTTGAAATTTATATTTACTTTATAACTTGCAAGAAACGTAGGCTTTTTTCGTGCTTTTCCAGCTTCCGCCCAGCAATATTAAGTGTATACATGTTTAGCCCATGAGCTAGGTAAAATTCTGACGTTCGTATTCACAACGAGAAATTTCAAATTTTTAATTTGATCCGTCAAAATTTCCTCTTTTCTATCAATTGGCACAGACCTGAAGTATCGAGATGGTGATCGCAATTCTTGCTTATTGGGCGATGCCGGGTATGCTGTGGAACCTTTCCGGTTGATACCGACACCCTATAGCAATCCATAGCCACGGTCTATACAACACGCATTTAGTCAAACAAATTCTTCGGCACATAATATAGATGAACAAACAATTGGAGTTCTCAAAAGTCGTTTTCAATGTTTATTAGGAACCTTGCAGTACAAACTATGAAAGGTGGTGACAATAATTAATGTAGATATGTGTTGCCTGCATGACATTTTTCGCCACTACAATGTTGAATTTGACTATGAAGAAGTCGAAGAAAACGATAGTGAAGTAGATAGACTTGTACCAACAGACGTTAATTTGAAAAGTGAAGCAAAAATAATTGGAGACGAAGTTGCGAAAAAAATTACCTTTATTTAATTAAAACGAGTTTTGTTATAACACAATAAACAATTTACGCAAAAAATAAACATTTTAAGATTTTTTTACTAATTTCAAATTCGAAACGCTCTAGCTCCAACTCAAGCTGTGCAGTTTAATTTGGTTAATTTTTTAATTCTAATTATTAGATTATTCGCTATTCGCTAACGTTTTCTTTGACCATTTACGTTTATATTTTGATTTTTTGTTTTGTTCTTTTTCTATTCCACTGGCTTTTACCTGATCGGAATATTTCCGATAAAAAATTGCCGATACTTGGAATGCAGAACATCAAATTTCCGATAGAATTCCGATTCGAATCGGATTGCAGACCAGGGTTGTATGTCTAAAAAATGTTCATTAATAAAATACGGCAATAACAGAAGTCTGAATGGCTAATCAAGCTAAATATTTAAATGATTTTATCTAAAAAATTTTGATTTGATGACGGTTACATGGCTTCAATAGGTTGCGGATCCTACCTCATTTTCTAAATTTGTTAACAGCATTTGAAAGTATTGGCTGACTTCCAATACGTCAATTGCTTTGCATCCGTAAAAAAACCCTACATTTACGCCCCCTCCAGTAAAACGATAACTTAATTAATGTTCAATGTTATTTTCTTTTATGTATTTGGAATTGTTGGTGAATTAGAATTTTATGTTGTACCAGAAATTATATTTGCAGGTTTGAGTAACCCTGTTAAAACCTTTTTAATCATATATCCATGTTGAATTTTAAATACTTTGTCATGTTTCGAAATAACTTTAAATGGTCCTTTATAAGGTGTATGCACATTTGACTTGTGCATAACTTTAACAAAAACGTACTCACTAGTGAGTAGTCCACTTGCAAACAGCGTTATGTGATTTTATAATAGTAAGCCATAAATTTAAAAAAAAAAAAACGTCTACAACAACAAGTAACGACGGCCACGACTATGGATAGTTTTCCAGCACTAATGGGTATTTTTGGGATACTTATAATTAAAAATCTAAACTAAATCGTGTCAAAAAATGAGGAAAACGGTGATATATTGAATGCTTATTTGTGATAACTCAGCGCTAAATTGTATTAAATGTATTGAAATGTAATACATAGACATATCCGGCATCGAATTAAGAATATATAGAATTTTGAATATTCACAATGGTTTTCATGCTAAATATTTTTCGTAAATTTTTTATTCAAGGATGGCTAATTAGTATTATAACATAAACAAATAAATTCACGTTTCTGACTGTGTTGGAAATTAGTAGAGTTCTAGAAACTTCAATATTTTAAATCAGAGTTTATAAGTATGCAGTTCTATAGCCCATTACATTTTAGTACAATTAATCACGCTGATTTTATATATCTCTTTTTACGCACGCTCTTGAAGGTATTCTCCTATTTAAATATTTTCGTTTAAGATGCAAGATTACACTTTACTACACTAAAATTTGATGGGCTACAAAACAGAGTACTCAAAGTATTTATAAAAAAAAATCTCTGATTAAAAAGTTTGAAATTTGAAGACAGTTTTTTAGAGTTCTATCAAGTTTGCAGCACAGTTAAAAATTTTAATTTAAATTGTAATGGAGTATGAGACATAGTATTTAAATAAAAACTTAACGAAAAATATTTAAAATGAAAAACATTGGAAATAAAAAAAAATAACTACACATTTCGGTTGCACAGTGATATATTTACGTATATATAGTATCGTTCATATCAATAGCACCCCCATTTCAAAGTGAGATTGTTAACCACTTTTGTTTATTTTTTTAAAACTGATTAAAAGGTCAAAAATTTTGATGAAAAACCGTTAAATTTAACTTTGTTTTGTATAAAATTTTAAAACACGGTTTATATGATTTTGTTTTAAGCATGATCACTTTTTTCATAAAATAATAACAAACAAATTTTAACTCTTAATATATTGTGAGTATTTAAAAAAAGAAATGGTGTACACAGACCATTGCTGTTAAGTGTAGCTTAACTAAATTTTATATTTTGCATTCGGAAGCATTTTGAAGAGTATTACCGAATCACGATTTAAATACCGTACCAAGTTATGGTTATGATGGCCCCTTGAGAAGTCCGGGCCCGGGGGGTTCACCCCTTTCCCCCTCGCTCGCGACAGCCCTGCGTATGTGAATACTAAAAATACTATTCTGCAAACAAAATTGTTCATAATTAATTTTCTAAATCCTTTCTTTTCTTATAACGGAAAGATTTTCCAATATAAGATGTTTAGTACCCCCATGGCTACCCTTTACCAGCTGAAAGCTCGCAATTTTTTTTAGTTAAAATTTGATTAAGCACTTCTCCCTATATTACTTATGCTGAAAATATTACTTTAAATGTATATATTTATTTCTTTATTAAAGACAATAAGATTCGATACAAGTGATGTAATCCCCTCCGAACTTACGATATTGGAGAAACGACGTTCCGATGCTCGTATGGATCATAGTTATCCTTTCCGTAAAACTGGTCAGCCATTGAATAAATAAATTTAATAAGTAAATAAAATCAATCGAATGTTATCCAAATGATACTCTCAAAGTAACTGACACCCCATTGGTGTGGGTTTCCGCATTTCAATGCAATTTTTGTAAAAGCACTCGTATTAAAAAGCAGTAATGATTTGATTGAAATATTGGTGGAATATGTAGGATTATGATTATAGATAAAATTTCACTCAAACATCGGTTATCTATCCAGCAGCACTTCATAAAAATATTTACATATTTGTGTAAGTTTAACATTTATTAATATACTACAATGACTTTAAATATTATGATAATAAGTAGCATAATAGTAATTGTATAAAAAATGCCGATATATGCATGTATGTATGTATGTACATACATATTTAAATATGTGTAAATAGATTGTGTTGCCAAGTCTTAACAGACTTTTTGATTTTTTTAAGATAACGCTTATGGAAAAAGTTGTTGATCGCTAATACTTTAAGTCACTATGTAGTCAGTGCAGCCTTTTGCTTATTTTCAAGCGAAGTGAAAATATACTAAAAGCGAAGTGAAAATATACTAAAAGCGAAGTGTTTCGGAGTGACTTGGGAGGAAAAGTGAAGTGTTTAGGAGTGACGACTTCGGCCACAATTAGGAGTGTGGGGGTTTTTCGTTTAGGTTATTTATCACCTGATTGGTTAATCGATTTTTTTACAATAAAGGTAATCTTTAACCTTTATTAATTTATAATTTATTGTGTTCCTGTGCAAATTTAGTGCTGGAATATCTTTAAAATTACAATGTGGTTGTTCACGCTTGCCT